CTTTTATTTCGGATACACAAATATATACATACGTGTGTCTTTGTGTTTTGGTGCATATGTGTGTGTGCATTTGGCCACTAATTTTCCATTCATACAAGTTATTTTTAGTTAAGCCGATACTTTTGTATTTGTATTTTATGAATAAAATATTCCCAGTTACACACACACACACATACATACATATATATATATATATATATATATATATATATATATATATATATATATATATATATAATATAGATTTAGACTCGTTTCAAAAAAAAACCTCGAATTTTTGATTTGCTAATTAAAATCAATCTCGAGGGGAAAAAAGGTTTTAAAAAAGAAACAGCTACAAACATGAACTTCTAGGACAAAAAAAATACGGATGCAGGTCTGAGCGCTTTTGTTACGAGTAAACAACTAACTAACAAAAGGGCTCAATTCTTTAGAGCAGACCTGAATACACCTTTTGAGCCAGACAAACCTACCTAGGTTTGTATCGTCTAAACTTTTTTAAACCTTTTTTCCTCGAGATTGATTTGATTATTAGCAAATCAAAAATTGAGGGTTTTTCGAAAAAACGAGTATTATCTTATCTATCTATCTATATATATATATATATATATATATATATATATATATATATATATATATATATATATGAATGTTTTCATTAAAAACGACAGACAAAGTACTACGGTTAAGCTTTTTATTTATTATTTTTTTGTGTTCTAACAAGAGCTTTCTTTTCTGGACAAAGGGTGTGTAAGTTTTATATTTTCGAGCGCTTTCGGCTACACCTTTAAGAATTATCAAGGATGATTCGATTTTTCAGCTTAATTGAGTGTGTGTGTTCTGTCTATGTCTTAGTATGTGGTAGGGATATTTTTAATTTCCGAATACGGTTAGATTGCTGCCTAAATATACAACTATCATATATATATATATATATATATATATATATATATATATATATACATACACGTATGCGTGGTTGTTTCTTTGAACGTGTGTAGGAAAACAGAAGTGTAAACACATAAAAGCAATCGTATTGAAAGCAGCACCAATTGTATCTAAAATATTCTATCTAAAAATCGAACTAGGTCTTCACTTTAATTGCCGTTAGTAACCGTATCTTCGGCGTCGTTTTATTCATGCAGTGTATGAAGAAACAATTTAAATTCAAATCATATGTCTGTGTAAGTGTCACTGCAAGCTGAATTATACTATGCTACGTATTTCTGTATGATAATAATACTTTGAGCATTTGTGTGTGGGGGAAAACATTATTTTGGTAATTTCAATTTACAGAGTTTTCATTATCAATGATTTGACACGTTCTCAACTTCAACATTTATCCGACATTGTATCATCTGTTATCGATTAAAGAGTTATATGAAGAATAGACTTAGAAACCTTGAAGTATTTTTAGAATGATAAACCTTTGCGGTAGGGAAGAGTTTCGATTGTCTTATGGTAACTGTTGAGAACACGTTCCTGACTAAACGTAACTGAAAACAGCGCTATATCTTCGTTCAACAGGTGTTAGATTTTTCAGTCAGTCACTTCTAATTAAATAGATTTTATAGAGAAGTATCGATTACTTACACTGTCTGTTGACCTGTTCATCTGCCTAGGAAAAGAAAAGGCTAACATAATACCTACAACATTTTACTATAGCACTTGCCATTGAACGTTGGCTTAAAATTTGTAGTCATTAATTTAATAGACTAGCTACAACTCAAAATTTAATTAGCGCCTATATAAAGGATATTTCTAAAATTTCCTTAGTCTGATATGAGATACAGTGGTCAGAAACTGCTGTTTAAAACTATTGTTTGAGAGAGAGAGAGAGAGAAAGAGAGTGTGTGTGTGTTTGTGTGTGTGTGTGTTTGTGTGTGTGTGTGTGTGAAGATAGTGAGAAAATGAAAAGCTTTAAACGACACGTTTAGAGCATCTGATATCTCTCTCTCTCTCTCTCTCTCTCTATTTCTTAGTCTGATATGAGGGAAAAACAGCGTAACCAACAAACTAAAAATATGGTTATAATATATATATTTATATATATATATATATATATATATGTATTAGGTTTTAAAATCGTTTTGAACGTCAAAAAACGACATTTTTCTCATTTCGACAGTGGTATAGTGAGTCAAATAACATGTACAGTGGTCAGAAACTGCTGTTTAAAACTATTGTTTGAACTAAGCTTCGACTACCATCAAACATGATAGGTTTTGATTATGGTCTAGAACGGGGGTTGGCAACATTTTGGAGAGTCCAGGACAGAAAGCTATACATTGTCTTAGAGAAGGACCATTATATCAAATGTATTATACCAAATTGCCTCGATCTTTGACCAAAAGGCTATCTTGGTCCTGAGGTTTAAAGAAAAACAACGAAATTAACGTCAAGTTTTTTTTATGTTGTTTTTTTTAAATATTTAACTGTATGAATTACGGGATAACGACTAACACAACCAACAAAAATACAAATTCCTTACTAGAAACAAAATACAGTTAGAAATGAGAAATTATTTAATAAAACACTTGTTTCTGCTTATTATTTAATAACTTCTCAACATCAGGTGAAATATTTGTCGATGACTTGAGCAAAACATTACCAAGGTGGTCATCAACCAATCTTGTTTTTAAATGACTTCTGGTATATTTCATTTACGAAAAAGTTGTTCACAAGCATATGTACTTCCAAATAATGATACCATCGTTTTTGCATTATTCAATAAGATTTTATATTTTCCGCTTCGAGAAATGTTATAGAAGATATGTGTCATCCGGTAAATGTTGTTAATGCTGTTTATTAGAAACAGTGCATTTACTTAAATATCTGCGTCTATAAAAATAACGTATAAAGAAATATATGAAAATAATTGTCGGACTTAGTCCATTTCATAATATATGATGTCATTTGTTTACATGAAGATACACTTCGGGCAGAAATGAGCGTTCGAGAAAAATCAGGGGAAATTTGTAGTTTAAAAACTGTAATTCGATATTGATAACGAGACGCTTCCTCTGTAGCTAAATGTTACAGCACTTCAGGCTATATGACGGTTTTCTATGAAATTTCGCAGACATTCAGGTTGATAAATGTTTATAATACTGTTTACTATTGATACTGTTTTACACACACACACACACACACACACACATATATATATATATATATATATATATATATATATATATATATATATAAACAGAATATGTATTAAAATAATTATCGGGTTTAGTCCATTTCTTATTGTCAGGTTTAGTCTTATTTTCTCATATATATATATATATATATATATATATATATATATATATATATATATATGGTGTCCATAATAATGAGACACATTTTAAATGTAAGTATCTTTGCTTATAAAACTAATAGAGTACCAAATATATTGATTACATAACTGATATACAAGAGTTCAATATACTATCTAAGATTTGGCTCTGTATCTGATATCTCTTTTGCCGACCGTGGACCCTCATATTGTCGTGGACTCCAAAAGAAAATGCAAAACCCAGAGGAACCAACAGCCAAAGATCCATTGTTGTGGCCCAAAGAAATTCCGACAGCATTTTGGAGAACGAGTCACCATTCTGAAAGGTGATTCTGCATGCTGTTACAAACTTCTCTGAGACAGAAAATTCTGTGTTTAAAATTATATAGTGATCTTTTGCATGTTCTCTTCGTGGTGGTGACTATTTCAGTGATGTCATATTCAAATCTTAGATAACATGCTGAACTAGTCTATATCTGTTATGTAATAAAAATACGTGGTACTCTATGTCATCAAAGATACTTGTAGGAAAAACGTGTTCCATCATTCTGGAACACCCTGTATATACTTCCATTTGTAGTAAGTGTACTTTTCTGTTACTAGTTTGGATGTGATTTTATAAGCAACATAGACGAAAATAATTATGCATATTCGATAATCGAGCTTATATGTGAAGCTTTTATAAGCATAATGCCCAATGGGTGCATAGAATTCCTCATAACAAATTTGTAAACATTTTCAGTGTTTATATACCTGTGAACTGAATATGTGTATATGCGAGTTTGCGTATTAGTGTTTTTCTGGTGTAAATACGCAATGTTTGAGGTTATATTTTCATCGATGAAGGCATTTCGTTAAAAGTCCAAGATCGATCACAATAAGTAAAAGCGGTGAAACAATCGATTTTTGTGGCAATGATCACAACCATTCCCCCCACTCTCAAGTCCAGTCCATTATTTTCCCTAATTCTTTCGAATTCAGCGGGGGTAATGTAGCGTTGAGAAGATTAGTATCATTTCAGAAAAGCAAGAATCAATTGAGTAGAGTACTTAAAAAAGATAGCACAAACTGCTTACGCGGGATAACCCTCTTGTCTGATTGGCTGATATTTTAAAGACAGATTGCAGCAGCGCCTTCACTCATGTGTTATGCATGTATATAACTGTTTTGTTTTTATTACATATATATATATATATATATATATATATATATGTGTGTGTGTGTGTGTGTGTGTGTGTGTGTGTGTGAATCGTGGAGATTATGCAGAAGGAACCCGTTTGTTTGACCATGTATTTTTTGTATATGTATTTCTTTTATTTTCTATTATTTTTCTTAATCATGTCTTTGAGGCAAATGTTTTTATTTTGGCTCCGATACCATTATTTATGGGATTTATTTGACGGCCTATGTCTATGATCGCACCTGTGAGTATGTGTTTGCTCCGGCCAAATCGCTAAATGTAATTACGTACAAGTTTTACGGTATTTGACTAAACTATGCTGTTTGTTTTGTTTTTTTTTCTTATTGAAGCATTTCGGACTTTTGTAAATTTTTTTTTTACGACTGTTCCGTATATCAACCATATATAGCAAAGAACACAAGAGAGGTAAGATAAGGTGACGAACTCATAACATGGTAAGGGGTGGAATAACTAAGCTATAACGAACGGATACTAACATAGAAAAGCAAAGTAAGACACACACACAGTTTTATGTTTACGGACATATCCCATTGAAACACTAGTTCTCCTCCAATCACCGAAGTTAAGCAACGTTGAACCTGGTCAGTACCTAGATGAGTAACCGCTTGGGAATTCTAGGTGTTATAAGTTTGGACGTACAGTTTGTCTAAAGTCAAAGCTTGGACGTGCGGGTGATCACAGAATGAGGAATCAGAATCCGAATTCGAATTTCTGTCAAGTCCGTTGCGATCACTTATGCTCAAATACCCTTGGGAAAGGCATGAAACATTCTTTCTCCTTACCAGCTTTGGGTAAATAGAAGAACAGACTGGGCCAGTCCAAGAGATGGAAAATGTTGAATCCAAGATTTTTGCAGGAGCCAATGACTAAAATGCAGCTAGGAGGTGGTAACCTCCTATCACCAAAATCCTTCAATTGTAGCACAATCTGATATCTGACACAGGACATTGTGCTATAAAGGATGAGATTCTAAATTTCAAGGCACAGACAATTATCCAATTTAAACAATTCAGTTGTGCAGGTTGTTCAGTAAAAACTTCGCTGAATTTATTGAACCCTCATCCGTCTTCCATGACAGGATTATCTGTCCATATGCATACACCTATATGTAAAAAAGTTTTTTTAAAATATGCAAACATATATAAAATACCAGAATATATATATATTGTCCCCTACAGACAAACTGTATCACAGCTCATCAGTGTGGCTAGACGTCCGGCCAGCCTCTAGATAGGATCGAAACCCGGATGAATTGGCATCAGTCGAAGATTCTACCTCTAAGCCGTTAGCGCACAAAGTAGTAAAGGTGAATTTAAGCATATTTATTTTTAGATAAACACACAGTGACTCGATTCGTTTAACCGAAGAGTCTTGCATTATTAGCAATAATAGTCACTGTTTACCCACTGACATTTCTTCCCCATAGAGATCAATGGAAAAAATACACACACACACGCGCGTGCGCAAACTCATATATATATATATATATATATATAAAAAGAAAGAACAGTAAGATATAAAATCCGGTGTTCTTATAGATATTTTTATTTTGACAAAATAGTGATCAATGTAAATTTACAGAGCATTAATATTATAAATTAATTGATTTAAATATGTTTTTTTTTCGCTACACAGTTATGTTTCAAAATAGAAGCTAAAAACCCTGAATTTAATTTTGCAATTAAATTATTAGTTCCATTTCATCTTCAAGCGAATTTTGGAGTAACTTTAAAAATTACCGGGTTTTAAAAAACACATAAAATACCGTTTCCATGGTTACAGAATATTCTACTCTTAAATTGAACAATATATTTATATATATATATCAGTTATATATATATATATATATATATATATATATATATATAGATGAATGATAGATAGATAGAGAGAGAGAGATAGAGAGAGAGATAAACCATTGCAGAATTTTCTTTTCTCTTGAAGTTTATATAAAAGCGAAAAAATTCTTATTTGCTCCTTATCCTATCAGGTTCTAATCTATCTATCTATCTATCTATCTATCTATCTATCTATCTATATATCTATATATATATATATATATATGTTTATATATATATATATATATATATATATATATATATATATATATATATATATATTTTGTGTGTGTGTGTTTGTTATTTTGTTTTGTGCATTTATATACAGAATGAGTGTCTGATAAAATGATTAAAGCAAATACTAACGGGTAGAAAATGGTAGAGAAAGTACACTTCAAAAGTCCGTCGCCTCTTGACGAAAATTGTAGTTATTAGCATTATCTACTTCCTTTTCAGTGCACTTAGCATAAAAATGACAATTATACGTCACCGAGATCTAAATTTACACATTGAAAATTTCAGATAACAATTATATCAAAAATTGTCAGTATTCGCATTTATTGAACCAACCGGGTCAATATTATTAACCGATAATATTCATGTTAAAATTAAAAAAAAAAAACGGTGGAAAGATTTGTTAAAGACATTTGTGAAATATATATATAAAATACATGCATATAAAAGTGAGCAAGATATTTTAAATTAACGATGGACTAATTATTAGGAAGATACACAAGAAGACGAAATGAAAGAAAGAAATCAAAGACACAAATATAAAAAAATAAAGGAAATTAAGTATTTTTATCAAGAAAAATTGTATAAACGTTCACAATCAATAAAATAAATCCGACCGGTTTACACACTTCTCAGGTCTATCGAATAGGAGTAGATGTTTATCTTGCTTCCTAGTTTAGGCTTGGGATTCGCTTGCCTTATAAAGTCTCGTTCAATCATTGCGCCATAGTAGTATTATTGCCGTGCTTGGAGTGAATTGATTAAAAAGAAAAAAGTCTAATTTTGAAAGGAAATTTCTGTTTGCTTCGATAGGAGATAGATAAAATTAAAATAAACTATATGAGAAATAAACAATTAAAGAAAATATATTTTAAATGCAATCGGGGACACAAATAAAGAATCATACCCCCCACCAATCACAAAAAATTGCTTACCAAGAAAAATTAGCTTTTTTAAAAAAATAATATTAAAAATTGGAACGAAATTCGAATAAAGAGAATATACTGTGTGTCGAATGGGAATAAAAGATTAAAATGAAATAATTAAAGTGAATGATTGGAGTAAAATACATTGACGAGAGAAAGTATATTTAAGAAAAAGACAAACGAGTCAAGAGGCAAAGACGGAATAATCAAGATACAAAGACGGAAGAATCAAGAGACAACAACAGAAGTATCAAGAAACAAAGATAGAAGAATAAAAAGACAAAGACGGACGAATCAAGAGACAAAGTCGGAAGAAAAAAAGAGAAAAGTCGGAAGAATTAAGAGACAAAGTCGGAAGACTCAAGAGACAGTAATGTAAGAATCAAGAGACAAAGACCAAAACCGGAAGAATAAAGCATCAAAGACGGAAAAATAAATACACAAAGACAGAAGAATAAAGAGAAAATGACGGAAGAATCAAGAGGTAATGAGGGAAGAATAAAAAGAAAAAAAACGGAGGAATCAAGAGACAAAAACGAAAGAATCAAGAGGCAATGACAAAAGAATCAAGAAGCAATGAAGGAAGAATCAAGACAAAGATCAAACTTTGGAAGCTAAAGATGAGAAAGAAAAAAACCTAACGGCAATTCGTCATCAAACATTTGAGGACAGATAGGAAGTGAACGCAAAATAGTATGTAGTCACCTTTGAGAAGGAGGAGTAATCAAAGAAAAATAACAAGGAAGAAAGGAAAAAAAGAAGAACCACAGTTGAAGAAAGACAGTGTAAAACAGGCAAATGGAGATATAGACACGCAAGAATGAAAGACCTGTAAAGAGGAAAAAGGAAAACGTGCAGCAAGAGTAAACAGAATCAGATAACTCGTAAAACAGCACAGGGAAAACGAATAAAAACATCCAACTAAAAGACTATGGAAACCATGCAAATATATCATCAGCCAACTTAGTTTTATTTTTCCCGATTAGTAACTTCGTTTTTATTACAGGACAGGTTAAGTGGATCTAAAAAAATCTTTTCATTTATGTTTCTGTTGCAAATGCAATTTTCTTTCATTGAACTGAAAATTTTGTCCTTTCAGATTACTAATATTATTTCCCGTCTTTGTCTCCTTTTGCGTTGTTCTTTTTCTTCAACTTTTGTACTTTTGGTTGATCACTGTTCTTTTTCTTGTTTTTGCTTTAATTCATGAGATTTTGGAATCTTTTATATCCTTTCGTTTTAGTAATTTCCTCTTTTTAGCGTTTTTGATCTTTGTTCATCAGTGTTATTGCCTGTTCCTCATTTATGTTTTCGTCTCTTTCGCTTTCCCCTTTGGCATCGACCAGGAGACCCAGAAAAGTTCTCGGCCCAACCATGAAGAGTTGGAGAAGTGGGTGTGGAACTGAGAATTTTTTTTAGCATCACTTCCTATATTTCCTAATCCCACTTGTTGCACAGATACACACACTTGTGTGTGTCTGTGTGGGTATATATATATATATATATATATATATATATATATGTATTGGAAGCTCTAATAATAAAAAAGAAAAAGCCAACCCTTAACAATATTAACTATGAACAAAGCCACAATGTGCTAACTGTATTCGGAAACTTAAAAACATCACTACCACACACTGAACATACACAGAACACACACACTCTACTAAGCTGATAATTGAATCATCCTTGATAATGGCTAAAGGTATAGCCGAAAGCGCTCGGAAAGACAGAACATTCGGACAGTTCTTACACACACTCTTTGTCCAGAAAAGAAAGCTCTTGTCAGAACACAAGAAAATTAAATAAAAGCTCAACCGTAGTACCTTTGTCTGTCGTTTTTAATGAAACATGCATAAAGGAAGGATTGCTGCCTACATATAAATATACACACATATATATATATATATATATATATATATATATATATATATATATATATATATATATATATATATATATGTGTGTGTGTGTGTGTGTGTGTTTTATAAGTACATAAGCCCGCTCTCGTAATTTGGAAGAAAGGGAATGCTTCACCGGCTGCTAATTAATGCTAAAAGCTCTTCGCTATGAATTGAGCACTCTGGTAGCCGGGAATGCTTATATCTCGTATATATGCGTTTCCCCCGCTGCTTGCACTGATAGCGTAAGGCTGAGAAACTCCAACTGATGTAATACAGCGAAACAGTCTGTCTGTGGATGACTATATGTTTATCAGAGAGATAGATAAAAGAATGTGTAAATATTCCTGTCAGCTATACATTATGTCTCTTCAGGATCTGTGAAGTTGTTGAAACTTTTCAGCGCCTACTACTTATCTGACTCACCCATATATATATATATATATATATATATATATATATATATATATATATATATATATATATATATATATATATATAATTATTGGTGTAAACGTTAAATATAGACAGTACACGTCTTCCAGGAGATATATTGTTTTAAAGATTGTAAATCAAATTCAGCCGGCCTGTGTATTCGAGAGTCTTAATAAAAATGATATCTTCTGTAAGGACTCGAACTTGCCTTCTTGTAGGGTGAGCATTCCCATTAAGCCTGAGCACTCAGCCACGGAAGAATTGCACAACCAATGAAAGTTCAGTTACTT